TTTTTTTTTTTTTTTTTTTTAACTGTAGTTGCTACAACCAAACTAAAACACCAAGGGCTCCGTATGCTTACAGCCTTGACCAGCATGCAAACAAAATGGCATACTCTAACCTCTGCTAATGCGAATGCGGGCTAATTGAATGGCAGAAAACTATCATTTATCCAACGTGCAATCCACTCTCGTGTGAACTATCCTATCTCAATCTTTCCAACACAAAGCACTTTAATACTAACTACATTTAGCAGCCTCCTCTTCCCGCAAGGCTGGTGATCCAACCCAAAGACTCTCAGGTAAGCGCTCCACCACTGAGGTCGCCCACTCTTCCCTTTTAAAAAGGAGGGGAAGGGTTAAGTAAAACGAATTAAGAGGTGTGAGGTACACGTACACGTACCAGCTCCCACGACGTTCTTGCTAGGTAGCCCAATCCGGTCTCGAATTTGTCGTCCTTCTCCTTTAGCCTCTCCAGAAGTTGGGACTACAGACGTGTGCTACCGTCCCCCCTCCCCCCGAATCTCACTTTAAATAAACTACTTAGCAGTGTTTTGAAATGAGATTTCACAAAAGATCGCAATCTCGCTTCCACTCGAAATAAATCCTCTTGCTCCGACTCGCTTCAAACCTTTTAAAAGTCCACGGAAAACTGCCCACAGGATGCACAGTGATATCTAACGTCACTTTCTCAAGTCCCTAACACGTGGGGGCCAAACACGCGCGGCGGTGCCAGTCCGCCCGCGTTGCCAAGCTCCCCCCTACGTGCCCCAGCCAGTCACGGAGAACCTGAGGTCCCACCTCTTCCTGTCGCTCCCTTCCCAGATGTCCATTTATGTAAATAAGCAAAGTGAATGACACCTTGGCACAAAACACCTCAACTGACAGGGACGGGGCCTCCCCTCCCCCGTCCCGTGCCCACCGCGGGGCAGCCACAGACCTGCCTCCAGGGTATCGGGCGGGGGCGGCGACAGCTCCGTCGCGGCGGGGGGCAGGTGCTGCGACGGCTTTTTGGTCCAGGGATTCTCTTTAGGCGGCGGAGGTTGCAGCTTCTTCTCGGGGCCGGCCGCGATCAGCTTCTCCTGGGCGTCCTGGGTCGGCGGACCCCGCGGCGGTGGAGGAGTCGGAGTCCGCGGCTCCCCGGCGGAGGGGCCCCCGGAGCCGCGCGGCTTGTGCGGCTTGTGCGCCAGGTGCAGCGCCAGGTGCAGCGCCAGGGGCCGCACGGGCACGGCCCCCTGAGGCACGCAGCGCCCCAGCACCGCGGCCGGCGACGGCTCGCCCCGCGCCCCCGCGCTGAGGGCGGCCGTGGCGCGCTCCGCCCTCGACGCCTCTCCGCCGTCACGTTCCGGAGGGGGCGGCTGCTCTGCCTGGCGGCTCGCCGTCCTCAGCCGCGGCTCCCGGTCGGCAGCCACCGCGGGCGGGTCTTTCCGAGGGGGAGCGGCGGGCACCGGGGCGCGAGCGGACATGGTCGCCTCGCCCCAGCCGGGAGGCGCCCGGGACCAGGGAGCCCGGCCGTCCGTCTCTCCACCGGGGCACCGGCTGGCTCCGGCCCGGGACAGAAGACCCGAGAGCCCGCCGTCGCCGCCCACCGAGGCCGACCGGCGCCCGGCGTGCCAACCCTCCCCGCGTCGAGCGGGGCGCTAACCGCCCGCTGGCTTAGCGTTCCTCAGCGGCGCACGCCCAGAGTCCGCGACACGCGCCCGGCGCCGCAGCCGCGAGCGAGCCTCTACGAGCCGGACTGGAGCAGCTCAAGTCAAGTCGGCCCGGCGCGAGTCGCGAAGGCGGTAACTCATAGCGGGAGGGGCGGGGCGGGGCAGGGCCTCGCCTCCCGGGACGTGACGTGGCCGCTCGCCCCTCCCCGCCCCCTGCCGGCCGCGCGCGGCGGCCGACTGCAGAGCTCGCCCGGTCCCGCCCCAGCTGCTGGTCGAGGAGCGGGAGGGCAACCAACGGCTCTCCCCGGCCCGCGGGCTTCGGCCGCCCAGCTGCGGGCGCAGGGGCGGGGCACGCTCCAGGCCTCTGTGACTCGCGGGCTCCTGCGGCGGCCGCGACCGAAGGGCGGGGCGGCCGCGCACGTGGTGCCGGGAGCACCGGGTGGCCGCCGAGCACTTGCGGCCCGCGCGACGCTGGCCACCGGCCGGGGCGGCTGAGCGTGGCACCTTCGCCTCGCGGAAGTTTCCCTCTGGAGCTTGCGGAAGCCGCGGTGACTTGTAATCTTGAGCCACGTCCAAGGTGACAACAGTGTTATGTGTGGATAACTTAACGAAACCTTTGCTAAGGCTTTTGATTTCCTGCACTTCCCCCTTCGATATTTTTAAAGTGCTCTGAAGTAAAACAGTTACTATTTTGTCAGCTTTTAAGATGTTACCTGTTCCTTTAATTTGCAGAAATAGCACTGGATTACAAATTAACTGTATTCCCCAATATTTTTCTCCTGGGAGGGATATTAAAATAGTACGAATATATTTGTAATAAATCGGTAAGATCGTTCTAGTTGTCCCTGAAATTCAATTAGAGATACTAGTTTCATGTGCGTGTACTTAGGTGTTAATGCTTATTTTCTGGTTCGAGGTTGCTGAGGTGAAATTTCTCAGACTCACCCTACCCGTGCCCTGTTAAATAATTGCTTGCCAATTCAGGGCATTACAATAGCTTTAAACTATAAAGTATTTGTTTTCTTCATCAGAAATCTCCAGTTCATCTAAGCAACCTCCGAAAACCAGTAGCAATTAAATAAGGATTATAATACCATCTCTATTCCCCAAGAGACATTTTTACTTACTCTGGTGTTGGTGAAGTTTTGTATTTTTAACCTTCCACTTGCTGTTCTCTCTTACCAGCTTTTTGAAGGCCTGTCAGGTAATGCTTGAGCTCTTATGAAAGCCTCTCCACAAATCAGTCTACAAGACTTAGAGAACGCTTTTTATTACTATTCACCACCGATCTACTCAAATGCTAGTACATTAAACTGATTAACAACCTGGTTCTCTGCAGTTTGATTTGATTCTATTTTTGTTGTTTTCCGTTACCGAGGATCAAACTTAGGACCTTTCCCTTGCAAGGCAGGAACAGCACCACTGAGCCAAATCCCCAGCCCTTGCAGTTTGATTTATATGAGCAACCGTGGTTGTTTTGTGTGCTTTCTTTCGTTTTTGTTACCAATGGTTGGCTGCAGAGCCCACTGTACAGTTTTTCTCTTGTTTTCTTTGCCCTTTTAGGTCTAAAAAAAATAACCACTAGCCTTTGGGTTACTGCATTAGCCCATGATGGTGGTCCTTTAATAATTTCAAATTATGAACTTTGAGCATTCCATTAGATTTTGCTAGGACGCTTTGCCATTGGAAACATTGGTGGGTGGAACAGGGTCTCACTATGTAGCCCAGGCTGGCCTTGAACTCACGGTGATCCTCCTGCCTCAACCTCTGAGTGATGAGATTACAAGTGGTCACCACTTACGGCACATATTTCCTTATTTAGTCTGCCTTTGCAGCAACTTCTCAGATTCTGCCTTTGCTTCCTAGTTCAAAATCAAGGAAGCCCAGGAGGCTAAGGAGGGAGGATCACTTAAGCCTGGGAGTTCAAGGCCAGCTTGGTCAATTTCAGTGGTACCTTCTCAGTAGGGGAAAGCAAATCAGGGAGGAAGACTCATTTGCCTTATTGCTGTACTTATTTTTGCTCCCCAGATCACACAGATCTTCAGCCAATCTATGGATTATTTTCCTCTGGGTAGGAAATATTCTAACCTGGAGTAACAAGTCATTTGGTTCAAAACACTGACATCAAGGCAATGGGGAAGGGGTGGAAAGAGCCAAGTCCTTGTGTGAGATAGCATCTTTAACTAGATTTCCTTCCCTTCTTGCTCTTCTCCCCACCCCCCTACTTGAGAGAGAACCCAGGACTTTAGCACAGAGCTACATTCCCACCCCCACCCCCTTTTTTGAGACAGGGTCTCACTATGAGGTTCAGGCTAGCCTTGAACTCACTATGTAGCCCAGGTGGGCCTTGAACTCACAGTGATCCTCCTGCCCCTCCTGCCTCAGCCTCCTGAGTGCTGGGGTTACAGATGTGCACCACCATACCTGCTGTTACAGCCTCTTAACTGGCTTGCCAGTTGACAACATTTTTGTGAGTATTAAATGGGCTAATGTGTATAAAATGCTTACTAAAGTCCCTAGCTCAATAATGCTATTTTATTTGTCTTTATTACTTTTAAGTCAGAAGATTTAATCAAATGACCTTAATTTTATTGGTCTAAGGTCAAAGGGTTAATTTTCTAAAAATTTTTCTAATAGAAAATTGGAATCTAGAACATAGTTACAGAGGTATCTTTTGAAAGGAGAGTGATCCTCTAGGCCTTCAGGAGTTTGGAAAGGCACAAAGCAGTTCTTACACCCTCTGGATGATCAGATTGTTCAGATAAGCCTATCCAAAGGAGTCCTGTTTTTCCTGTTTAGAATATGCTAATGTTTCCTCAGATGATTGAATCCACTCCTGCTCCCCCCGCCCGTGTGTCTCAGGAAATTAAAGTCCCATGAGAACATGAAGGCACTCTAATACCAGTGTGGTTTAGGGTGAGGCTAGCAGAAACCCAGTGTGCTCTGTTGAATGCTAGAGAAGTTTCAAAGAATGGATTAGATATAATCTGTTTCAAAAACCAGCAATCTAAGATAAAACAGAACCCAGAGATTGTTTTAACATTCTACAGAACAACCACTTTTAAACCTAGCATGGTGGCACGTGCCTGTAATACCAGGACTCTGGGAGGCTGAGACAGGAGGGTCACCAATCTGAACCCAGCCTGAGCAATTCAGCTCAGTGGGAAGGCCTGGACTCAATTCCAGTACTGCAAAATAACCACTTTCAAGAAGAGTCACTGACCCATCATAATGGCCAAGTTTCAGAGCCTTGGGACTTGTTTATCATAATAATAGCTCAGTGCTGAATACTTCCTCTTTAATCTACAAGGCAAGGTCAAGGTCAGTGCTAACATATGTCTCCTAGGATTTGAACCCTACCTCTATAATTTCTCTCAGAAGTTCCCTTTCCATAACTTTCTCTTTTTTTGGTACTGGGGATCGAACTTGGGACCTTGTGCTTTCAAGGCAGGTGCTGGAGCCAAATCCCCAGCCCCTTCATAACTTTTGTAATTGCCTAAAGTGAGAAGTGGGTTTTGGTAGGCCAGGAAGGATAGGAAGATGGTTTGGACTCAAGCAGTAACAGTGCATATGGCAGAAAAGTGACATGAGATGCATTTTGGAAATGAAATCAGCAGAGTAGGAACCAGCCTACGAGTTTATCCCAGACTGGGCAGTGGGGGAAAGGGGGCAATGAGGACAAAAGACAAAGTCACAAAGATAATTTAGAATGATGGAGCCAGGAGGCTCGTTGCCACTAGTGGACAAAGAGCCCCAAGTGTTTGGCTCACTTCACTTTTAAACATGGGAACAACCAATTAGTTCAATGGAAGATTCATCTGCCTCTCATTATCTATAGCATGTACCCAGGTAAACACCCAGATCTCAGCTGTATTGACTCTTCTTTGGAACTTGCAACTTGCTAGCATGCCTGCATGGTGCCAAAGAAGGCACAGCTTGCTGTTTTTCTTTTGTGCTCACTGGTCAGGCCTCCATCCTCATTATCTGGTCTCCTATAAGCAGGACTTGCTGATCTAATAAAAGGAATCAAGTTCTAAATTTCTGCCTAGTATAACCAAGATCAGGATGCAAATGTAGGATCTTAGCCCCCATCTTCATATTATACTTAGTATGAAATTTAGGAGAAAAATTCAAGAATTAAGGTGGTGCACAAAAAGTAAAATCTGAATCACTGTAAGAAATACAAAACCTTGGGGCCGGGGATTTAGCTCAGTAGTTTCGCTGCCTGCTGTGCAAGCGCAAGGACCCGAGTTTGATCCCCGGTACCAAAAAAAAAAGAAAAGAAAGAAATACAAAACCTGTGATAACCTTGTTAGGGAGCTAGGTATCTACCTCTTTTAAATTTTTTGGTTTGTTTTTTTTTTTACACTGTGTCTTGCTATGTAGTTCAGGCTGGCCTTGACCTCACTATGTAGCCCAGGCTGACCTTGAACTCCCAGTGGTCCTCCTGACACACCTTCCCAAGTGCTGAGATTATAGAAATGTGCCACCATGCCTAGCTGCTGCTCCTGCTTCCTCTTCCTGTTCTTCTTCTTCTTGGTAGAACCCAGAGCCTTTGCACTGAGCTTCATCCCTATTTTTAACTCTTTTTTTTTTTTTTTGAGAAGTCACTGGTTGCCCCTGGGCTCAAACTTGGGGTCCTCCTGCCGTAGTCTCCCAGACTGCTGGGATAAGAGGTATGCACAACCATACCTATTTTTAAAATTATATGTAAATAGTATTGTTATTGGGTAGCTTGCATCTAAAAAGTGGCTCACCAGCCAGGTTTGGAGTTGCTTGTCTCTCCTTCTACAGTTGGGTTCCAGGTTCTTCTCATCACAAACAAAGAATTGAATGAAATGAGCAAAAACCAGTGGCAAAGTTTATTCAAGAATGTAAAAGTGTGAATGCCCATATTAGGAAAACAGAGAACTCAGATAAATAACTTAATGTAGAATATCAACCTCCTAGAAAAAGAAGAGCATAACAAAACCAAAGCTCGTACAAGAGAGGAAATTATAAAGATCAGAGCAGAAATCAGTGCAATGGAGACTAAGAGAACAATACAAAAAATTAATCAAAGAGTTGGTTTTTTGAAAGAATAAATAAAATGATAAACCTTTAGCCAACCTTATCAAAAACAGGAAAGAAAAGGCTCAAATCCATGTAATTAAGAACGAAAAAGGTAAAGTCATAACAGACCCATCAGAAATCCAGAGGATCATCAATACCTATTTCGAGAACCTGTACTCTAATAAAATGGAAAACAGAAGAAATGGACAGATTCCTAGATACATATGAATTACCAAAGTTAAATGAAGATACTGAAATTTTAAACACCCCAATTACAATGAATGAAATTGAAAATGTAATAAAAAGTTTACCAACGAAGAAAAGCCCAGGTCCTGATGGCTTCACTGTTGAATTCTACAAGGCATTTAAAGAACTATGGCCATTACTCTTTAAACTCATCAAGGAAATTGAAAGGGAAGCAAGGCT